AAAAAGGAGATACTGAGCTGGTACATATATATCTCGCAAATCTAAGTGGAGGCATTGATGGATGGATTGCAAAGTTTAGGTGAAGAAGCAAAGCTTTGAATATTAACCATATTAGAGAGCAAACATTTGTCAGGTGCCCAATTAATTGAAGATGCTTCAAAGCTGGAATCCACGCAGAAAGTTTGGTCTCATAGTACATTAATTATTAATAAATAATAATATGTGTAGGTAGTTGTTTGATTTTCTGAACTAAATTTTCAACCGCCCACAACAAGATTCTGCACAAATTATTGTCGCCACAAAATTGTTGTTCACCAACACTTTTGTAATCATGGCGTGCGTTATCAATACCAATAATACATTTGAACCCTTTTTTTTCCCTCTTTATTTAATCTCTCTATGCAAGAATAATCTTTTCGGTGACAACACCGATTTTTAAATAATTCTACAAAAAAATAATGTTGTCACTATGGTGGTAATTAATGGGTATCACCAATATTATATAATGACAATACAAACGGATTATCACTTCTAATAGTGACAATTAAAAATGATTAAGTGACAATTAAATGAGTTATTAGTGACAACATAAAAATATTGTTACTTAATATATATTTAGTGACAACTTTTGATAGTGTACGTTGTATAACTAATTGAATTTTTTCTTGTAGTTTCTGGCATATAAAATTCTTGAATGTAGAAGGGACGTAAAACTGGCAATTGAACCAAAATGAATATAATATACGAAAATATAAATAAATAGCAAAAGGGAGTCGTTAGATAAACGGAAAAACAATTTATGAGAGAATTTCATATAATTCGATTTTCTTAAGATGTATTTGTCCTCCTGTAGTTTTGGATTCAAAGAAAAACAATTCCGATGATTTAATTTCTTCAAATACACTAATGAAGTATTTAACCCTAGTGTTCGAACAAACAAAACGTAAAACGATCTCTACGAAAAATTGGTGTTTAGTCTCTCAAAGAAAAAACAAAATATATTGGTCCTTAATTAGGAAAGGACTAAGAAAAGAAGAATAACTATTTTCTCTCTTATTTCTTCTTGATTTCTTTCTTTCTTTTACAGTTGCAAAAACACACAACTCAAAAGCCTCTCCATAAATCTATGGAGTTAATATTTTGCCACTAAAAAAGGGTCATTTAAGCAACCATAATAATGCCGGACTTTAAAAGTCATGTTCTTTATGAAACGATATATGCAGTGCGATTTTTACTGGAGCGCCAGTGCGAGTTCATTTCATTTGTAGTCTTTGAATGCAAAAACTTCCAATTCTCTCAAACTATCTCCAGAAAACAAAAATCCTCTTAAACCCTTTTCAAACTCTCGGGAATCAATCGGGGATCGATGACAACAATTTGAGGTAAGTAGTTACTTGTTTGCATATAATTTATATTATTTTGTTGTTTAGTTTACATGATACCCAGATAGATTAGCTTTGATGCATGAGTCGATCGAATGAAAGAAAAAAAAGGAATTTCAGACCGTCTCGATCTATTTTGTATGTAATGTTTATATGAAATTAATAAAAAAAATCCATATCTATTATTCATTTTGGTTTGGTTCAAACGAAATTGAATGCAATTTTACATTTCGTGTCATCAACACGAAATGGATAAAAAAAAATTGAAATTCAATAAAAACATGTTATTTTTACCTCTGAATCGGAATTGATTGCAGTCATATTAATAACTGATGGATTATAACTAAAATTATCGGGAATAAACTTCACTCTTTGCAAGGTTTTAAAATTTGAAGGTCGAGAGAATTTGGAAAAAAACGTTTTAAAATATGAAAAATGTCATACTGCAACTCAATAAAAATTGCACTGATAAAATAAAGCCCCAAAAAATAATCCTTTACACATAAATTTCATTGAAACATAATGAAATGCTTCTACTACTATAAGTGTCAGATGAGTGACAAAAATCCCTACAAAGACAATTAATTTGGGATCAAGTACAAACAGTGCTAGAAACATCGTATAGGTTCCATCTTTTCTAAAAATTACCTTTATAGCATTAATATTATTATAAACTTTTGATCAGATTTTAGTTCTGCAAATTTCAAAAAGAAAAAAAAAAAAAAGATATCTCTGAAAATTACCTTTATAGTATAAAAAAAAATGTTAGTATTTAGGGATTTTAGGTCGTAAACACCTATTGGCTAGTTTACAATACGGTTCATTCCTCTTAGGGCATCTCCGACCGGACGCCATAACGCCATTTTTTCATCTAATTTAGGTGTTTTTAACCTCCCATCCGAAATTCCTATATCACCATTAGACCTAAAATTATAGAGATTTGGTTTTAGCCTCCAACCGTGGTCAACCCCCATATCACCAAATACTCAAATCTTATTTTTCCACCAAATTTTTTGGTGAAGGAATTTTCATCTCCCACCGGTCCACCATTTTCCTATTTTTTCCACCAAATCCTATTTTTCCTACCAAATATAGAGGTGAAAATAGGATTTGCAGTGATTAACACAATTTTAATAAGTACCATATAAAATAACAATTTTAACTAATTGCACCCGATTACCAACTTATTAGCATATTTATCGTAAATACATTGGTATTAATTATTAAATTAGTTTTTAAAATATAAATACATTTGTTATTATTAACAAAACATTAATTCTAATAATATAAATATGCTCATTTTTAATTAATTTGTATATTTTGTTGGCATCAATGTTTATTAGTTCATTTCTTTACTTAACTAATAAACTAATTTCTATTAATAAAATATAATAAGCAACAATAAAATAATTAACGAAACACAATTTAATTGATGAAATACAAGACGAGACATTTATAGACATTTAATAGAATGATAACATAATTTTTAAATTATATAGTTAAGAAAATTTATTACTTAGCATTGGATCTATAATTAATATTTAGGAAATAAAATATTATGAAATTACGATTAAGATTAGATTTACATTTTTGAGGCATATATGGTGAAATGCCATGGAAGACCAAACCAAATCCCATTTCCTATAAGTGGTGAAATGATGAAATATTATTATTTTAATATTAGGTCTAAATTTTGGTGAAATCCATTGGAGACCAAAAACCCCATTTTTCCACCAAAAATGATGGAAGAGTAAAATTGTGTGCTACCGGTAGGAGATGAACCCAGTTTTTCACCACAAAAAATAGAATTTGGTGAAAAAAATGGTGAAACCGGTCGGAGATGCTCTTAGCTATACCTTTCTCTAAAATTTATTGTTATACATTAAATTTCAACCTAACAAACTATCGAGACACGTATCGAGACGTGTTCCTCGTGCAAGGGGGAATCCTACGATCTTATGCCCCCATCCTACAAATTACAATTCACCATATCTATTGCATACCATGCACCTCTACCCCCCTCTTCCCTATATATCCCAGGCGTACGTTAGCGGATGCCCTTACAAAAAGGAAAGCTAAAATGTATATATTGTAACAAGTCAATGTTTACCAAACAAAGTTTCCAGCTGCTTCCCTCACTACATTACTTATCGAACACCCAAGAAGTTCTCAAATATAAAGAACTTGTAATTAGAGAAATTTCATAACTTAATAATTATAGTACTAGTATATATCAAGCTACATGGAAACATATGCAATTGTGCTCATATTTTTAGGTTCCGTGGCCGGAGTGCTACTCCTATTTTACTGTTTACATCACAATAGTAGCCGGGAAAAGAATCATGTGGTGCCTCGTCGGCCGTTGAATAGTGGTGCGGAGAATGGTGGCATGGTTTTTCTTGGACTGGGAGGAGCTTTTGCCGCCACCGTTGCCGCTGCTGATGTAATTAACGGAGCTAGTTGTGATGGCGCCGTTGGTGGTGGGGACTCTGGTGGTCATGATTGTGGCGGTGGAGATGGTGGTGGCGGCGGCGGCAGCGGAGGTTGTGGAGGTTAATGTAAAATGTAAATTGAACTACATAATTAAATATGTTGTGTGACTTAAAGCAATTTCAAATGCATATATCATGCAATGGCCGTCTAGCTATTTTGTGGCTTAAAGCAAATAACAAATTTGGTCCTTTTATTTATTTATTCTCCTCCTAATTTATGATACAAGTAAAATTGTATTTATGTAAAATATTAGGGTGAATTTGAGCTAGGCTAAGTTTTACTACAAATCAACCTACTCTTTAACTTTCATTTCAAATAAATTTACAAGAATATGTATTCCCAAATTAATTCTACATATTTCTATTTTTCTATTTCAGATAAACCTAACATATCCTCATCCATCCTAGCCGCCCACAAGACCGGTCCGGTCCTATCCGTTCAGTTTTATTTATTTATTTATTTCTTTTTCGGCGACGGGTTGTCAGAGCTCTAGTCTGACTACTATTAGTTAACGTTTGACAATCCTTTTTTTTTAATCCGGTGGTGGGCTCTGGTTAGCTGACTCAACATTAGTTAACTTTAACATTGTTAGACATTTTTTTCTCAGCGACGGGTCGTTGGATCTTCGGTTAATTAGCTCACTCAACATAGTATTAGTTAACTTCAACATAGTTAATTAAACATTAGTTGACATTCAACATTTGTTGTTTCCTCTGATGGCAGATCGTCGGAGTTACGATTAACTGACTTTAACGTTAAAACTGTCAGGTGTCAGCTAATGCTTAGTTAGCTAATCAGAACCCCAAATACCCACCGCCGAAAAAAAAAGTTGAAAGGAAAATTAAAAAAATGGTCGGGTGTTAGCTAATGCAAAGTCAACTACAGCATAGTCAGCTAATCAAAGCTTCGACTTCCCGTTGCAAAAAAAAAAAAAGTTAAAAGAAAAAAAGTTGAAAGTCAGCTAATGTTGAAATTAGCTAATACGTAGTCAGCTAATACTGTATCAACTAATCCAGAGCTCAGACGACGCGTCGGCGGAATTCTTTTTATTTAAAAAAACTAATAGACAAAAAAAGAAAGGAAAAATAATAAGTCAACTAATGTTGAAGTTAACTAATCTGAGTAAGAGCCTGTTTGGCTAAGCTTATAAGCTCCTAAAAACATCTTATAAGATGTTTAAGAGCTTATAAGTTGTTAAAAAGTGTTTGGTAAAAAAATTACAAAAGATCTTATTTTTTCCAAAAATAAGCTGTTAGGGAGCTTATAAGATGTTTTTTTAAAAGTACCTCTACCCCACCTTTTTTCTTTAAGATCTTATTTGCTTCTTTACTAAAACACTTAAAATACAAAATTGCCCTCAAATATTTTATTATATTACATGAATACTAATAACATTTATATTTTATCAAAACAACGTATTCGTGTAATCAAGATTAATACTTAATTAAAATATAATTATCATAATAGTAAAAAAAAATATTCTCTATTTATATTTTATGCATATAAAAATATCCGAATATTCTTATTATCACAATAATAAATTATATTTCTTTTGTCTATCAAAAAAAATTATATTTCTTTTACAACCTTTATTTTATATTAATATATTAATGGGACAGAAAAGTAAAACTTTCACGTTTCATTAAAATATTTTATTACACTTCATTTATTTTAAAAAATAGTCAAATATATCATATCAAAATACATAAAAAATCATTTAGTTTATTTAATATATAATTTAATATTATTATTTTTATTTGAAAAAATAATTTGTAAATATTATAATAATATTTTAGGAATAAAAGTATTTGAGTCGAATAAATTTAACAGTTATAAACTTATAATGACGTCATGTACTTTTTTTTCATTATAGCGATAAACAGATCTTTTATTTCCAAACACCTGAACAACTTATAAAAAATAAAAGTAACTTATAAGCTACATATCCAAACACCTTAAAAAATAATTTTTAAAATAAGATCTAACAGCTTATCAGCTCCTAAAACATCTTATCAGATGTAGGAGCTTATACGATGTTTTAAATAAGCTTAGCCAAACGGGCTCTAAGGTAATTGGAGCTCCGACGAACAGCCGCTGGAAAAAAAAAAGGACAAAAAAAAGATGTCAACTAATGTTTAAATTAATTAATGTTGAAGTTAACTAACGTCGAGTCAGCTAATCGGAGGTCCGACGGTCCACCACCAGAAACATTAAAAGAAAAAAACAAAAAGAAAAAAAAAATAGAATGTCAAATGTGAACAAATGTTAAAGTTAACTGATGTTGAGTCAGCTAATTCACCAGAACTCTAACGACCCACCGCCGGAAAAAAAAAAAAAAAAACAAACAAAACAAAACAAAAAAATAGAATGTCAACTAATGTTGAATTTAACTAATGCTGAATCAGCTAACCAGAGCTCCGACGACCCGCCGCCGGAAAAAAGAAATTAAAATAAAATAAAAGATAAAAGAAAAAGAAATTTGAATGTCAACTAATGTTGAGTCAGCGAACTGGGACTCCGACCACCGAGCTGGAAAAAAAAAATACGAATAACTTAAAAAAAAAATGTTAAATAAATAAATAAAAATAATAATAATCCAAATAAAATAAGATAAAACAAACCCTAATTAGGGTTTGAAAGGATAAAAAGGATATAAGCTTATTATTTGTATTTACTAGTAATTGTACCCGTGCGATGCACGGGCCAACAAATTGCATGTTTGGATGTTGTAAGTATATACGCAAACATTTGATGTATTCGTATGATGAAAATTTTATTACAATCATTCATTAATAATTCATTAGTGGAACATAATAAACTAAGTATACTTGCTACACAAAACAAAAAATAAAAAATAAGCAAATTTTATCGACAAAAATAAAAATCTAAGCCGAGTGATTATTAATTTTGAATTAATAAATAAGCGAGAAAAATAAAAATCTAAGTTGCAACTTAACTATAGATAAACTTAACTATCGATCTCTCTATTGAGCAATTAGTAAATACTCACCGTAAATTTTGAAATACTTCTTTGTAAACAACATTAGTTGTAATATTTGAAGTATGTCCTTCTTTGTCGGTTATAAGTATTTTCAAACCACTGCGCTTGGTAACCCTTGAAACAGCAACGTATAGCTGACCATGTGAAAAAACGGGTTTCGGAAGATAAACACCAACATGTTGGAGAGATTGTCCCTGACTCTCGTTTATAGTCATAGCGAAGGAAAGGCAAATAGGAAACTATCGACGTTGAAAGTGGAAAGGAATTCTCTTATCTGATGGTGTTAACGTCAATCTTGGAATTAAAACCTTATTTGTTTTGTGTAGTAAGTATACTTAGCTTGTGGCTCCGCCCATTTTTGCTTAGTTTTCTCAAAGCATCCTTTTCAATAACATGTCCAATAACATCTAAAAGGAAATAAGTGTTATACAAAAAAACATAAAATTTTGGTATAAATTAATGGAACACATAATTTAACAAAATGAAATTACCTATAAGCCATGTATCATCCCCGTCATTAATGATATCACGGAAATCCGTAAAATTAAAAGTGACAACAGGAATATTTTCAGCAAGGAAATCAGTTACTCGAGTAGTGCTAATAAACACAATCTTGTGAGTATGGCGAGTTGATCTGAATCTTGAATCGCTTGGAGCCACCATAAAATTTTGAAATATGTAGGTATTACCTTCATTCACAATAAGTTCAAACTTTTTCAAGTGATTACGTTTTATAGAAGCATGGATCTTGTCACCCTAAAAAAAATTAGAAATTATATCAAAATATTGTTTTAACCATAAGCGAAATAAACGCGTAAATAAATAATGACCTTATTGTCTATTAAGACCATATCGATACTGATCATTTCATTTGGATTGCTTTTGCTAGGAACTTTCCACAGACGCATGACCCGAACCACCACTTTCCAGTCAAATCGACACGGCTTAAGATCAATGAGGTTGGTCGTTGTTTGTGCCATTTTGGTCCTTTTTTGCGCCATTCTATATGAAAATCGAACAATATATTAAGGATGTAAAGAATTCAAGAAAAATAAATGGAATTCAATATCAATCTAATAAAACAGAGAAAGAAAAAGAAAAAAGAGTAAAACAAAAATCCTCCCATGTCATATGTGCTCCGCACAACAGATAAAGAAAAAGAAAAAACAAAAATCCTCCCATGTCATATGTGCTCTGCACAATTTTTTTTCTCCCTTTTTCTACATCTTTCTTCGCTCTCTCTCTCTTTCTGATCTATTCTGTATTCTAGGGTTTGAATTTTATCCGCATTTTTGAACAATTAGCCTGCTCACATTGGCAGAAATCGTGTAATTTTTTTAATGGTAGTGAGTTGAAACTCAGGTGTCGGGTCTAGCAGTGGTAATAGTGGGGAAAATGAAGGATTCATAGAGCTATGTGGGTATGAAAACGAATTGATATAAAAGATGAAAGGATGCAATACAAACACATTAGAAAAATACAGATGCAAATAAAAAGATGAAAGGGAGAATCCTTACCGACCGTATCTTCTGGTTTCACTTTGAAAAATAGCTAAATATGAATGGGTTGAGAAGTTGAGAGGTCGGATATAAATGCGTAGAGAAAACATAAACGTGTTGAAGTGGGAGGGAGTAGTTGAAAGTGTTGGAAATCTTTGGGAATCGGGAAAATCGGAACAAAAAAAAACTGAGATGGAAAATAAATAAATAAACATAAAATCGAGAAAATAAATTGAGATGGAAAATGGAAAAAATATGGTGGAGATAAAATAAAAAAATTACAAAAAAACAAAAAAGAGATTTTAATATTTAGAAGGAATCGGGATTAGAGACAAAAAAGAGATTCTAATATTTAGAAAATTTAATTAGTTGTGTATTAGAGATTTTAGGGCTGAAAATTAGAAGATATGGAAATTAAAATCGAGAAAATAAATTGAGATGGAAAACAAAAAATATGGTGGAGATAAAATGGAAATTAAAATCGAGAAAATAAATTGAGATGGAAAACGGAAAAAATATGGTGGGGATAAAATAAAAAAATTACAAAAAAGAGATTTTAATATTTAGAAGATTTAATTAGTTGTTTATTAGAGATTTTAGGGGTGAAAATTAGGAGAGATGGAAATTAGTTGTGTATTAGAGATTTTAGGAGAAATTTTAGGGCTGAATTAGGAGAGGTGGAAATTAAAATCGAGAAAATAAATTGAGATGGAAAACGGAAAAAATATGGTGGAGATAAAATAAAAAAATTACAAAAAAACAAAAAAGAGATTTTAATATTTAGAAGGAATCGGGATTAGAGACAAAAAAGAGATTCTAATATTTAGAAAATTTAATTAGTTGTGTATTAGAGATTTTAGGGTGGAGATAAAATAAAAAAATTACAAAAAAAAACAAAAAAGAGATTTTAATATTTAGAAGGAATCGGGATTAGAGACAAAAAAGAGATTCTAATATTTAGAAAATTTAATTAGTTGTGTATTAGAGATTTTAGGGCTGAAAATTAGGAGATATGGAAATTAAAATCGAGAAAATAAATTGAGATGGAAAACAAAAAATATGGTGGAGATAAAATGGAAATTAAAATCGAGAAAATAAATTGAGATGGAAAACGGAAAAAATATGGTGGGGATAAAATAAAAAAATTACAAAAAAGAGATTTTAATATTTAGAAGATTTAATTAGTTGTTTATTAGAGATTTTAGGGGTGAAAATTAGGAGAGATGGAAATTAGTTGTGTATTAGAGATTTTAGGAGAAATTTTAGGGCTGAGTTAGGAGAGGTGGAAATTAAAATCGAGAAAATAAATTGAGATATAATATGCACAATAAAAAAACAAAAATTTACAAATATGCCATTAGGGTTTTTGTAGGGTTGCTGAGCGTTTCTTTCTTTTATATATAAGATATGAAATGGAACTTACAACTAATGAATTTTGGGATTTTTGTGCATAAGACTCTAATCAACTATCTTTATTATTTTGATTATGGGCTATATCTCTTTCGCCAATAAACTTATCCCTTTAATATTTATTTTAAATAAAGGAAAAATTCATGTGTATGACAAAATTACCCCCAAACCTTTACACTCAATTCTTAATTGTAACCCCAATTTAATCAATTATTCAATTTTGATCACAAAAATCCAATTTTGACTTTTTTTTTTCAAAAACTTTTTTTTAATCAAAAATTATTTTTTTGCCGCCGGTTTCTGGCGTTGACCGACGGTCAACGCCGATCTCCTGCGTTGACTTTTCGAGATTTTTTTTTGTCTGTTTTTTATGCCGCCGGTCTCCGGCGTTGACTTTTCTAAGTATTTTTGTTTTGTTTTGTTTTAACGCCCGCCGCTAAACGTTGATCGTAATTGTGCTGTCAATAACGGTAATTAACTGTCACTGACAGTAAATTAGTGTAATTCAGTGAAAGTACATTAACGTAATTGTACTGCCATTGACAATTCATTTATGTAATTGTACCGTCGTTGACAATACTATTAGAATCAATGACAATATTTTTTTTTTGTTATTTTTTTTTAATTTTGTTTGATTTGTTGACAAGTCAACGTAATTATATTACTGTCGTTAATAGTGAAATAACTGTAAACACAATAATATTACTGTCAACCACATCAATATCATTATTTTTTTTGGGTTTTTATTGTGTTGTCTGAGTTATTCACGGAGTAACGTAATAATATTACTGTCTATTATTGTAAACACAATAATATTACAGTGGTTGACGGTAATATTACTGTTGTTACTTGTCATAGTAATATTGTTGTCACTCACAGTAATATTATTTCTTTTGGCTTTTTATTATGTTTACCTTTATTGAACGGTCAATATATTAATATTACACAATAATAATGAGTTTTGTTGTGTTAATATTACCGTGCTAGAGATTCATATAGCAATATTATTGTATTAAACTGTAGTATAGTTAATTTTATTGTGTTTAACAGTAATATTGTTAATATTACTGTCAATCACAACAATATCGCGGGAGGCAAAAAATTCAAGAAAGTCAACACTGGAAACTAGTGGCGGAAAAATCAGGAAGAAAAGAAAAACAAAAAGTCAACGCCGGAGACCGGCGGCGGTCAACAGACAAAAAAATCCATAAAAAGGTTTTTGGGTCAAATTTAAATAATTTGTTAAATTTGGGGTCAAATTGAAGTTATAGTAAATTAAAGAATGAAATTTGAGCATATTAAGGGTTTTTGGCACTTTGCACCCTTGAATTACACCCTTTTGGCACTTTGCACCCTTAAATTGCAAAATTGGCATATTGCACCATTTAAACATAAATTGTTTGGCACTTTGCACCCCAAATCACTTTTGGCTTAGAAAATTTACCCGCAACTTGTTGAAAACCTGAAAGATGGTCAAATTCGCAATTCTCTAATTATCTATCCTCTTCCCCTAATTCTTAATATCGTTCCACCATTTTTATATTTCGTCCTATTAATAAAAAAATCCTAAATTCTTCTTACCCGTTTCTATTTGCCATAATATGTAAATTCTCAACTAAAACTCAAGAATGGTCGGGAATATATAGACAAGAGTCCGATAACACACCTTAAAAAAATCAAGTTTTATTCCATGGTAACGCTATTTTTTTTAATAATTTTGTAGATCCAAACTATTCAATGGGAGCACAAAAATATTTCCATCATGTAACTAATAGGCATCACCTTTCTACCACCAAATAAACTTCTCAGTAGCCTTATTTTGTCATTTAACTATTAAAAAAAAAAAAAAATTGAGGGCTCAGCCTATAATTTCCAGTTACATTATTTTTCATATTTAAAAGAAAAAAAAGTGATTTACTATTATTGTTTAGTGTTTATACCGATTTTACCATTGAAAGAAATGGCTAAAAAAATTTTAGGATTTTTTGATTGAAGGGATGAAAGATAAAAATGGTGGAACGATGATTAAGAATTGAGGGAAGATGATAGATAATAAGAAAATTATGAATTCGCCCATCTTCCATGTTTCCAGCAAGTTGCAGGTAAGTTTTCTAAGCCAAAAGTGATTTGGGGTGCAAAGTGCCAAACAATTTATGTTTAAAGGGTGCAATCTACTAATTTTGCAATTTAAGGGTGCAAAGTGCCAAAAGGGTGTAATTTAAGGGTGCAAAGTGCCAAAAACCCGCATATTAAAGTATGTTCGGCTATTTTAGTCTTTTATATACCTCTGAACCACATATAGATTTTTTTATAAAAGAGTTTATTGTTTGAAGTTTGAACCTCTTTATGAATAAGTAGAATTGATGGACTTATTTCTATGGGACGGATTAAATTTAGGGCTCAACTCTTCATTTATCTCACTTGTCGTCCTGTTCTTGTCTATTCACAAAACCAGACTAAGTCCTCTCCATTATTTTTCTTAATTTGAAATCATCAATTCTCGCACTCTTCGAATCCTTCACTTGATTTGAAAAACTCAGATGTGATTAAAGAAATCATTTTATGTACCTTTCAACCCTCGCTCATATATTCTCCACCGTCAAAGTTCTTCCTGGACGGGGGCGCGCCGTCAAAGCCGGCCACCGTCAAATTTGATGGTTGATGGATGAATAGTAGATTTTCTCCTCCGTCGCCAAAGGTTATTTCTCTCACTATCCGTTACGCAATAATTCTAAAGAAATACTCAACCTTTGCTACTCAAAATATCTCAAAGTCCACCGCCGCAGCTAACAAGTTCGTCGTGTACTGCAACACTCAGATCACTAGCCATGGCCGAAACGGTAACATCAGGGAGGCCGAGGCCCTATTCCACCGCATGCCCAGAAAAACCGTGGTTTCTTACACCGCCATGCTCTCGGCATATGCGAACAACGGTCAAATTGCCGATGCCCGGAAAGTGTTCGATGATATGCCCCAGAGGACTGTCGCGACGTGGAATGCGATGATTACGGCTTATGTAAGGAATATGAGCAGCAGAGTAAATGGGGTGGAAGAGGCTTCTAGATTGTTTCTGCAGATGCCAGTGCGCAATGCCGTGTCGTACACTGCAATGGTTATGGGTTTTGTCAGTGCTGGTAGGTTTGATGAGGCCGAGAGATTGTATGAGGGAACGCCCTTAAAGTGGAGGGACCCGTTTTGCTCGAATGTGCTGATGAGTGGGTATCTGAGAATTGGAAAATTGGAGGAGGCTGTTAAGGTTTTTGAAAGCATGGTGGAGAAGAATGTCGTTTCTTGGAGCTCAATGGTTGATGGATATTGTAAGAATGGGAGAGTTGGTGAGGCTAGGAAATTGTTCGACAGGATGGAGGAGAGTAGAAATCAGTTTACTTGGTGTTCCATGATCGATGGGTATATGAAAGCGGGTTATTTTGAGGATGGTTTTCAGTTGTTCTTGCAAATGAGAAGGGGAGGTGAAGTGGGGATTGAACCTACTATTATGACTGTGATTTTCGAGTCTTGCGGCAGAAATGGTAGGCATAAAGAAGGGTGCCAAGTACATGGTTTGATGTCGCATTTAGGATTCGAGTTTGATGTATTTTTGGGTAATTCAATTATTGCAATGTACTCAAAGTTTGGCTGTATAAATGAAGCGAGGAAGTTGTTCGATACGATTAGGGAGAAAGATGTAGTTTCTTGGAATTCCCTTATTTATGGCTATGTTCAAGCTGGAAGAGTTGAAGAGGCGAATGAACTTTTCGAGAAAATGAATTTCAAAGATGCAGTGTCGTGGACGACTTTAATTACAGGATTCTCTAACAAAGGTTTAACCAGAAAATGTATCGAATTATTCAGTAAGATGCCCGAACGGGATTGTGTTGCTTGGACAGCTCTTATTTCTGGCTTTATAAATAACGGAGAGCACGAAGAGGCTATTCTTTGGTTCTTGAAGATGATTCGAAATGCAGTTAGGCCAAACCCTCTAACGTTATCCAGCTTGCTTAGTGCTTCAGCTAGTTTAGCATTTCTGAGCCTTGGTCAACAATTGCATTCTATTGTCTTCAAAATGAAGGCGGAACATGATTTATCCATACAAAACTCCCTTATCTCAATGTATACAAAGTGCGGAGTTGTAAATGATGCCCACAAGATATTTAAATCCATCACTACACCGAACATCATCTCGTTCAACTCAATGATCTATGGGTTTTCACATAATGGGTTTGGAGGCGAAGCACTCGAGTTATTCAAGCAATTGGTGGATGAAGGACACGAGCCAAATGAAGTGACTTTTCTTGGTGTTCTTTCTGCTTGTACGCACGTGGGACTTGTGGAAGAAGGTTGGGATTATTTCAAATCCATGAGGACATTGTTTAAGGTTGAACCTGGTCCTGACCATTACGCTTGCATGGTGGATTTGCTCGGTAGAGCTGGTTTACTAAATGAAGCAATGGAGTTGATCGAGTCAATGCCTTTTGAGCCTCACTGTGGTGTATGGGGTGCTCTTCTTGGTGCAAGTCGGACTCACAATTTTCTTGATCTTGCTGAGCTGGCAGCTCAACAAATTTTAAAACTGGAACCAAATAATGCAACTCCGTATGTGGTTTTGTCAGATATTTATAGTTCGATGGGGAAGAGAAGAGATGAAGAACAAATGAGATCGTTCAGAAGGTTTCGGGGCGTTAAGAAGAGTCCGGGTTGCAGTTGGATTGCTGTGAAATGACGAGGTTAGTTTCTTCAACGCTCGATTGGATTTGTTAGGAATGCTTTTTTTGATTTACTTTTGAGATTTATGATTAACTGAGCATACAGTTCTTGTATTGGATAGGATTGTGTAGTAATAGGGGCTGAGTTTCGATTAAGATGTCGTACAGATGCTTTATGGTTAAAATTAGGATCTGTTTTCTACCATGGACTCTTAATGCGAAAACTCAAATATTTGAGGAATGTTGTTAGAACCGGACCGTACCGGCCGGTCGGACCAGTTTGACCGTGACCCGGTGATGAGGCGGTCCGGTCTGACCTCTAAAACTGGAAAAATTGAAAACCGTGGTCAATATGACCAAAATCCGGTTGGTAAAATCTGGGAACCGACGAGTTAGTAACCCGGTTTTCGGCCAAAATGTCTCAAACAAGTGAGAGAGATAAAAAAATATAAGAAAATAGTATTTTTAAAATATTGAAATAATTAAAATAATTAAAATAATAAAATGTTGAAAAAATCAAAAATCCGGTCGAACCGGTTCGACCCTATAGAACCATGACCCAAATGGTCATCCGGTTCCATAGACAACATTGGTCCAACATAAAAATACTAATTTACCCTTAATGAAATTCAAAACCAAATAAAAAACATAAATCATGAAAAAAAAAAAAACGGCGTTACAACGCCAATTTTGACCTGTAAAGTCGGCGTTGTGTCGCCGATTTGGTTAACAAAAATCGGTATTGTGACGCCGATTTTCGTGTACAAAATCGGTCTGGATAAACCGATTTGGGAAACCAACGAAAACAAAAAAAAAAAGCAATTTCAATCTCAATTTTTTTTTTTCCAAAATCGACTAAAGCATTGCAACCCAACAAGAAGTAAGCATAGATTAATGTTTATGCACGCATATTTATCAAGAATCGATGTTCGATTAATGTTTTTGAATTGACAAATAAAAGTTTAGTAAAAAGGACTTGTTGGTGGTGGTGGGGTGGTGGTGATGGTGCGGTGGAGGTGGTGCGGTGGGTGGGTCGCTGGTTGTCGCCGGCGCGTGGAAGTCTCGTTGGTCGGTGTCTCGGCGGTCTCATGACGGTAGTTATGAGTTTTTTTTTTTTTTTTTTTTTTTGTTTTTACTTTTTTTTTTTTGGTCTTGAACAAATTAAAAATAGAGTTTGTTTGTATTTGGGTATTATTTATTGATAAGGGTATATTCGTCATGTTTGGTATTGATGTAATAAAATTAAATTAATTTACGGGCTTGAACTAATAAACTCCTTTATGTGGATTTGAATTAATAAAAAAATGGGCTTGCATATATCCGCCGCCTTTATTTATTTATTTATTATATCTCATTAGAAGATAGAAAAAGTAACGTGATTTAGATGAAGTTGAAGATATGAAAACAAATAAAAGTGCAGGGCAAAACATATATCCCAATCTTACATTACTAAAATAATAAATATATATACAATAACAGCATGTCACAAATTTGATTTGTACTTTGTCTTTGTGTTTTAATCACCGCCACAACCGCCACCACCATCATCTCCACCGCCATCATCTTCGCCACCACCGTCATCTCCGCCACCGCCAAAGTCCCAACAACCATCGCAGCTGCCGCAACTAGCTCCATTAAGTACAGCTGCCTTGGCAACGGTGGCGGCTACATCTCCTCCCACTCCAAGAACAACCATACCATCATCCTTCAATCCATCACCTTTCTCCACATCACAATTCACCGGAAGCTTCTTTTCCGGGCAAATGTTGCAAAGAAAACATAAAAGTAATGCTCCGGCCACGCAGCCGCAAACAATGAGCAGATATACAAATGTGTTCATGTCGTTCGATATGTATATAATACGTTTGTGTTTTTTTTTTTTTTTTATCTTAATGTTTGTTACACGTTCTTTATATTCAGTTGAGAATTTTTGGTGTGTTTAATAAGTAATGTGTTTGGCGGACATTGACTTGTTACAATATTTGAGTTCCGAGGGTCGACGACTAAGACTTCAGCAAATCAAAAATCCATGTGAAATTCCGATGAAAATTCAGTGTTTGATTTGAGCTGATTCCAATATTGCCCTGCTCGGCCAGTTCTTACTTTATTTAATTTAATTTAATTTATTATTATTTTTTTTTTTTTTGTAAATTTCTAACGTGATTCGGGTTCTTTTGCTCGTTAAACTATGATAGAAGTTTTTCTGATAATGGGATGATAATTACTTAACGTAGTAATGAATCAATTATTTGAATTGTTAAGTGTGTTTGAATGGTGAACAAGTATATATGATAATTGAAGATTCATAACATATTGGTTGTGCACGATTTTTACATTTGTTTTTTCCGACAATGTTGTTATGCTGACCGGCAAAGTTGTGTTACGAAGGTTATTGTGTTATAATGTTGTTTCGTTGGCCGGTACGGTCAACACAATATTATAAGTTGAAATCCGTCAACAATGTTAGAGATGCAGAACTAAAGTGAGATAAAATGTTTACACTAGGGTCTCGTTTTGTTGCTAAAATAAGATTAGTCAACATTAAAACTGTTTTAAAAATTTAATGAATACCTAAATATTTTATTGGACCCTATAACATCCAATAAAAAAATATTCTAAAAGGCGATTTAAGGTAAGATAAGCCATGATAATATATATATATTTGTGGGTGGACCGTGGATCTGACAAGTTATTGAAGAATAGTAAATATTAAATAAAGTCTAATTATTTAATTAATAATTGCTTCTTTAAGTTTGGCAAAATAATTTCTTGGAAATTCTCATTAAAAAATTCTCACAACACATGCCGAGTTGGTCTTTGTTTTTATTCTTTTATTTTATTCATTTACTAATTTTATTTTTTGGATATAAAAAATGTATTGAAGTCAGCTTGAAGTTTGAGCATATATATGTATCATTACAGTTGTTATTAAGAACACAGCTACAAAACTTAGGGATTTGGGGCTCCAAGAAGTTTCATTTGCAATCAGGCCCTTTAATTCTCTCGATTTGTTTTTCCTGACCCCTCAGCAACTAATCTACACCCCATGACAGACATATAGAATTTTGTGTTCTCTTCCATAAAATAAGATAAAAAGAATAGTAAATTTTGACTAGACATATATATATATATATATATATATATATATATATATATATATATATATATATATATATATATATATATATATATATATATATATATATATATATATATATATATATATATATATATATATATATATATATATATATATATATATATATATATATATATCATTTAATCTCAAGCTACAACATGCGTGCATGCAAAAACAATGTACAATAGTTATAGAACGAGCACGTATTCTTTATCTTAATTTTTAAGTCTAATCTGATTAATTTCAAGTTGGGGTAATTTATCACTTTTATAACATCAGTACATAACCTATCCAAGTGAAATTAATCCTATTACATGTAAGAGACAAAAAAACTTATTTTATTTATATTTTTAGGAAAAGATAGAAAAAAGTAACGTGATTCACAATAACTTAATAATATAAATACAATATCAGCATGTCACACACCGAATCGGCCGATTACATTAATTTGTAGTTTAATTTACATTTTACATCAACCTCCGCAGCCACAGCCTCCGCCACAGCCACCGCCACAACCACCACCACCATCACCACCGCCGCCGCCGTCATCACCACCACCAGAGTCCCCAACATCAACGCCGCCACCGCAACCGCCTCCACTAATTACAGCTGCCGTGGCAACGGTGGCAGCAACGGCTCCTCCGACACCAAGAACAACCATACCGCCATCCTTCAATCCACTGCTTTTCTTCGGCAATTTGCCTTTTTCCACATCACGATTCACCGGGGGCGGAGGCTTCTTTTTCCGACCACTGTTGCAAATAAAACACAATAGGAGTATTGCTCCGGCCACCGAGCCGCAAACAATGAGCACAATTGCATATGTTTTCATGTCGTTACAACTTACGTTGGATATATAGTAGTATATGTTATAAATAATACTTTTATGCTTTCTTTATATTCAGTTGAGAATATGTGAGAATATGTTTGGGGTGTTATATATATAAGTTATAATATATGTGGGAGGAAACTAACTGGAAATTTTATTTGGTTGACATTGACTTGTTACAATATACATATGGTATAAATTACAAGTTTACAACCATCCCTGATCTATAGTCAAATTATGAAAATACACCTATTGTTTGGATAATTATATCTACCCCTCAATTATGATTTTTCTTACATCTCCACACTTATGGTGTCAAATTCAACATAATCATCTAGGTTTCGTGGAATGTGCTCTAGTTTGTACTCGTTTTACGTAAAAATACAGTTTCTGATGCACCACAATCTGATATATACAAGCCAAAAAACACATCTTATGATCATCTTGCTTCAATATGTGGAGCTCGAATGGGATAAAACGGGTACAAAAGTGATAATATTCCATATAATCTAGAAGATTTCACTAAATTTGAAACCGCAAGGGTGAACGTGTAAATTTTTTTATATTTGAGGGGTAGTTGTAATTACACAAACAAGAGGGGGATTTTCGTAATTTGGCCATACTTCAGGGGTGGTTCTAATTTACCATATATATGAGTTTTCTTTGGTGCGAGGCCCACCGACCGAATTACTAGAATGAGTTTTGAGGATCAAAATGATGACGACTTCTTGCAAATCAAAATCCATTTGGAATTCTGTGGAAATGAAGATGAAGCTTCAGAGTTTGATGTGAGATTCCAATATTACTGACCTGCTCCACTTCTTACTTTATTTTATTTTATTTATTTATTATTTTTTTCCGACGTTATTCAGGGGTGATTAGTTGGCTATTTGAACTATGATAGAAGTTCTCTGAAAATGGGATGAGTCTGTATATATTATTAATTACTTAATGTTGAATGTTGGATCAATTTTTGATAGTTTATAAGAGAAGTGTTGAATGCTGAACAAGTCTTTATTTATTATTATTTTTTATTTATTTATTAATTTTTTTTTTTATTTTTTTTTTATAAATTTGACGTACCCCTCGTCAACTCTTGGCAAAATACAAAATTGTGCCCCTAAATAATACGGGGTTCGGTATCTAAAAAAATATAATAATACAGGATTCGATTCAATATCCTCGATTTTTTTGAAAAATATATATGTAAAATATAAACATACTTAATAATAAAATTATAAACTTGGACCGATACAAAGAAGATTAGTATCGTGCATGCGCAAGGATGACACCCACAAATCGAGATATGGTCCAAATTTTTATGGTAATCAAGTTTTTTAACTGATGTCTTATCATAAAATAGTGTTTCTTTTAGCCAAAATAAATTAATAAAATTATATTAATTAGAAAAAAACCCTTCACTTTAACAAAACTAGTTTAAAGTTTGGAAATAAAATATCAATAATGAATGAAAAAAAGAATTAAAGTATAAATTCTAGAAAAATAGAAACATAAAATGATACTAGGGTTCAACCGAGAGAAAATAAAATTGGAGTAAAAAGACATAAATGGAGAAAGTGGGGTAAGATTTGAAAACTAAGGAATTGGGTAAAAATATTAGTGGAGAGGGGACGGAGTTGAAAAGTCAAAAAAAAATAAAAAATGAGGGTCTTTCTTGTTAGTAACAGAAACGAGGGCTTAAAATACAAGTAGGGATTCAAACGTATTATATTTAGGGTAAATTACATCCACACCCCTGAAGTATGCTTAAATAACTAATATAGGTATCGATAATTACATTGACCCCCCTAAAACATTGTTAGAAGCTCTAATGAGATAATGCATTGGATATGTTATTCCGATGGAATTCTAATGAGCTATTAGTTTCAGGAAATGGTGAAGACAACAAAGAGCTATGAATGAATTAAGAAATGTTAGGGGAACCATGTCACCCCCTAACTCTATGTTGTCTCCACCACTAGCTAAAAGTAATACTCTATCGGAATAACGTATCCAATGCATTATCCCATTAGAGTTTCTAACTATGTTTCAGGGAGATGAGTGTAATTATCAACACCACAGAAACCTTAAAATTATTTAAGCATACTTTAGGGGTGTGGGTGTAACTTACCTTTATATTTATAAAAACATCTACTAACATACAATTGAAAATTTGGAGCCCCATTGATAAATGGGCCCTGTGCCTGGGCCCTGCTCGCCCTGGTCCAGGATCGGCCCTGCATCAACTTTAAGTACCTAAACTACCTTTACAAAATTAGTTTTAAATCTTAGCGAACTTACAGGCATCTCTCTTTATCTCCTACTTTCAAATCCGAATTTTTGCCTCATAGCTCTCCAGCTAACGATGGTGTTTCTCCGAGTCATAAATTTCTCTCATCGCGAGCTCTTTCTTTTGATGTTCATTTCATATGTTTTGAAGCTCTGAATCTGTTTCTATAATTGTTTTATCGTGCACGTGTATTTGGACGACGGTGGGTCTTCTCAGAGACGTAATATTGTTTCCTGACAGTCGAAATTTGACGGGCTATCTACCGTCAGATTCCTCTCCTTTTTTTTTATGGTAATTTCATTCAATTTTGATTGTTAGATTTGTTTGTGTTATTTTTTCATTGCCTGCGTGGGACCATGGGTGGTTGTCGGGGACAAAAGTTTTTGTAGAAAGCGCTTTAGGTGAGGGATCCTTGGCGCACAGTTTGAACTTAAAATTTCATAGCATTCACAACTATGGCGCATCTCTCCATATCTCTCTCAAATTATGTTGATTTTAAGTGTATTGAAGTTTCTTCAATTTTCGTTTACTTGCACTAAATATAATTGTAATAACAAAAGGCAATATTCAATTTTACTAGTTTTTTTCTCTCCAATTAACATAACTAAATATTTCTTTTTTATTTTATTTTTTATTTGTAATTGCAGCTTAATAAAAGCCATTAATCTTCTCCTAGAAGGTGCCAAAACATTAGTTGAAGCAGTAGACGATTTTGGCGAATTTGACATCTGTATTTCAAGTTATAGTCGACTACAAATTGCAAGGCTACAGCTCCCTGGACTCTCTTGTCGAAGGATTAAACAAGAAAACACAAAAACTATGCACGAGGATGCATGTCAAACCATTGCATGAACCCACAATACGTAACCTATACAATCATTCACCGGGAAAAAAAATCGAGGGAAAACACATGAGTAACCGGTTTGGTCATTAAGGAGTACAAGGAAATGTGGTGATACTGTGGACGTCCAACCGTTCCCTGTTTTAAGAAGGGGCTACAGAGATTGAGATAAACCTGTGGCGGGCGAAAGTTTCGTTCTTTTTAGAATTTTGGAGATGGGTTTTGATGATATTTTTTGCTGGATCGGAGATGAAAAAAAAGCCATAATTTGCAAACGGACTTGAATCTCAAGAGAGATTTGACTGGGAGTCTTGACAAGATTCGATGACGATATCTTCCGGAAGATGACGGTGGATAACGGTTTTTAATGTATCAAAAAGATTCGTAATAAAAAAAAAATTATTTTTCTACTAGTGTATATCAATTGAGGAATGTCACTTAACGCCCAGATAGAGAACCATTTTTCTGTGCCTACCATGGATATTAATTTTCAGAACTAAATACTATATAGCAACTCTCACAACTAATTCTTTAAGTATCCAAAAGTGGCACAAACGCATATTACCATAACTATCTAACGAGAAACTACGACTGAAAGTCGAGAAGATTGACCTTGACGTTTCTAGTTAAGATAATAAGTCCATTTCAACATCAAACTCGTACTAAAACCAAAATATAACGGAAAAAGGTAACCCGGATGCATTGACCATTGTCTGTAAGTATGAGGCAATGCTTTTTAATTTGGAGAGACTCAATCAAACATAGTCCCAAGAAAAAAGGAAATCGAAGAGCGACGGCAGCAAAAACCAAAACATATATACTGCAAAACTTTCATTATTCCAATTGGTGAAATTCCAATTTCGGATTTCTCTGATATCATTTGGAACAAAATGGACTTAGTTTTTCACTTCTCAAAAAAATTGGAGTATTTGAGAAAGTTATAAAGGATATGGTCCAACAAGTTTCATTTGTAATCAATACTTATCTACTTCCCATCTAATCTATTGAGAAAAGCAATTTGGGTTGAAAATCGAACCCAATTGAAATTAGCTCTTTCGGGAAAATTTTAATTCTTTTCGGGACTAAGAAAAAACGAGCTAATTGCATATAACCCCCTGTGTAATTTCGAATTGCCGAAAAAGTCCTCGTGTTAAAAATATTAGCAAGGACCCCCCTATGTTGTGTTTTACGAAGCACACCACCCCTTACTTCAAAATTGATGGTTGACTTGTATGCAATGACTAAATTACCCCTAATATGTTTTTAGTAATTTAATTTCAGTTTTAAACAAAAAGAAATGACAAAAAAAATATCACAAAAAACGGAGCAAACCAGCTTCTCTCCTCTTCATTTCACGTCTAGGAAAAGGAGAAGAATGGTTGGTGACAATGGTAGGTGGGAATTCTTTTTCTGTTTTTTTAGTGTTGCAACGGCAATTTTCAGTGCACGGACATTGTGGATTCAGAAGTTAAAGTAGCAGTGGTAGCATTGAAAGGTAGCGGCGGCGGCGTGGTGGAATCGGAGAGTCGGCAAATGATTCTTCGAGTTTGACATTATTATTATTCTTCCTTTTCTTCCTGAAGGTACGAATTAAGTTTTCACAAATTGGAAGAAAATGCTATGGAAATTGAAAGAAATTTCTTTGAAGGGTTTTTGTATATTTTTTTGGTTGGGCAGGGATGTCGCGAAAAATTTTGAGGTGCCGTTTTTCTTCCCTTTTGTTTTCTTAAGATTTGGAATAGAAATGAACTTCATATTCAGATATGGGATGGGTTTGGTTGATGGTTTTTGCCGGAAAAAATCATGGTGAAAAAGTGGAGGATTGGTTGAAGAAGATGGCTTAATTGAAACTATAAAGGACTCAATTGAAAATCTTAAAAACTTCATTTTGGTACTTATAAAATTTCTGGTTGCATTTTGGTATTTCGTGTCAAAAAACGAACCCCACTCTCATCCATGGCGAGTGAAGTGCACGGTGAGCTCTTAAGGGCCTTCTTGCCTTTGACTAATTTTTATAGGGGGGTATTTGCTAATTGTTTTAACACGAGGTCGTTTTCAGCAATTTGAGATTACACAGGGGTGGTATTTGCAAAAAACCCAAGAAAAAACTAATCCCAATTCCTTTGAAAATAATCGAAAAGATCGGTCGGAATTTAATTAATGAAACTTGTTCCAACATCGAAAATGTTTGAATTGGAATGGGCCTAATTCGAAAATTCCAAATTTTAAGACATATAGAACATAACAATATTGATATAACATAGGTAGTTTTCAGAAAATAATTGAATTTTCGCAAAATTAAAATGGGACTAAAACTCGAAGTTTCATATACATTGCAATTTCATAAATAAATAAAAATCGAGAAAATCAGAATCTGAATTTTTGAAATTCGGATAAAAAATATTTTTTTCAAAATTGAAAACTTGCGAATCAAAATTGGCGGGATTCCAAAATTTCGTTTCAATTTCCACCCGAAACACAACCAACAAATCAATTATCGAATTCAAGAATCCTTCTCCACAAAATAAGATAAGAAAAAAACTTAAAAACAAAGCAACATGTGTTAACTTATCAAACTAACCAAACAAATAAGATTCAATCATTAAATTAATCATGATTAATATTACCAATCGATGTATGTCAAGTTCTAAGTAGAAACAACTTTGCCAATAAACCATCATTAAACCAAGAAATCATTCTCCAATAAAATGAGATATATAAGAAACTTAATTAACAAGTGAGACTAAACTTTCTGTGTAGACTTTCGCTTCGTAGCGATCAAAGTCAACTGTGCGACTTTGGCTAAGCCTATCGTCCTTTGGATTGTAAATTAGAAAACCCGATCCGCATGAATACAAAACCTCGCCGTTTGACAACACAAACGGCGGGGTCAAGTACCCACCCCACGGGATTGAATGCGTCAAAGAATGACATGGATTAGGTATAGTAAAAAATTTAGCCCAAGAATCTTCCACCCCAGACTCCCTCCAAATCCAAATATCGAACCTAATAGCTTTAGGATACCCGAACAACACACAAAGACATCCTTTGACAACTAACAAAATCGGGCAAAAGTAACCCTCGAAACAACGAGGTAATTTCTCCAAAGTTCCGAATCTCTCCCTCTCCAAATCTAAACAAACAATTTCCCATTCCGATTCAAAATGTTCGCATTTATAACTTCTCCAGTGAAGCTTCCCATTCACAAACTTACCCAATCGGCAACAGTTCCACCCATCCTTAAAGCGCACGTTATTACCTCTCCACGAATCGGCCTTCAAACTATACACTCTTGCCACATCGGATGTCGGAGGAAATAAAGCCCTACGAAAAACAGCATTAACCTTGTAATCACCGCTGCTCTCATCGAATCCAAAGCCGAGCCCGGTCATAAAACCACGTTTGCTCGGGCGCTCAAAGTCGGGCAGCTGTCTGTACTCTCGCGTCGAAGGGTTCAACAAGAAGAACCGATAACTATCAACGATAACGCAGGTCAAACCATTGCAGGTACCCACAATGCGTAAATCCGTAGAACCACTCTCCGGGAAAAAATCGAGAGGAGACGAACGAGTGACCGGTTCGGTCAACAACGAGCGCAAAGAACATACCCTTAGATTGCCCGGGCACTTCGAATTCCATAAAGATGTCGAGATAAACCTGTGGCGGGCGAAAGTTTCGTTCTTTTCGGAATTTTCGAGATGGGTTTTGATGAAGTTTTTGCTGCAGATCAAAAAACGCCATGATTTGGAAACCGACTTGAACCTCAAGAGAGATTGTACTGGGAGTCTTGACAAGATTTCTGTGACGATATCTTCTGGTAGATGACGTTGGATTTGTTCCGCTTTGTCGTTGTTCTCCATTTCAGTGTTGTGGTTTAAAGAGTTCGATCGGCAGTTTGGAGTTTTGAGGTTCTTAGGAGCTAGGGTTTTGTTTTTAATTACTCGAAGAGTAATTTTTTATAAATTCTCCACTCTAAGATTATATAGGTTCCAGTCTAAGTTATAATAACTATTTTTTAAACCCCTACTAATATTTTTGGCTGATTTGCCCTTTGCAGCAAAATAAGAAAATTCCCTTTTAAATATAATTATCCACCAAATCAGTTTTTTAACTAAAAAAGAGGCAAAAACATCTCAAATCGTGAGATTGAAACTGCAAAACCTTACCTCTCATTTCTTTCAATGCACCCTATAGCTCTAATTCTCAAATCGACAGAAAAGGTTGTATATCTTCACACCGCCATCGAAGGGAGAAGCTGCAAAAGCTCACCTCTCGTTTCTTTCAACACACACTATAGCCATAATTCTCAGATTGACAAAGAAGTTGTAAATCTGCAAACCGCCACCGAAGGGAAAAATCTGCAAATCTCGTCAATTGAAACATGCAAAAACTCTCCCCCCTTTCGTTCAACCCAAATTTTGTAATCATAGCCCCTTATTGCTGAGATCGATGGAGAGTCTGTAGGTCTGAAAACCGAGAAGATGGCGCAAAATCGAAAACGTACAGGTATTTTGCTATATATTACATTTTTTTGTATTTTTTTTTAAATCGCGATTCATTAACTAAATACAATGGGTTTTTTTATAAATGGAGTGAAAGACAGAGATTTGGAGCCTACAACCCCAGGTAATAACTTTGTTTTCTGCAAATATTTTTTTTTTGTTCTTTTTTTATTTTGCTGTTTTTATGTTTATTTTGTTGTTTTTATGTGTATTTTGCACTTTGATTCTTCGACCTTAGGTACCAAATATGTTTTTATGTGAAAATCATTGGTTTCTTGCTTTTGATTTTGTTGTTTTTTGTTACATGTTTTTGATGATAACATTTTATAGGTTTTTGTTTGGATTTATTTTTTGTTTCTAGCATAGTATCTTTGCACTTTGCTGTTTATTTTGAATTTTGCTTATATGATGCGTATTTTGCTTTTATATTATATTTCATTTCGACTTTGTTGTTATCATGGTACAAGTTGCATTTTACTGTAGTATTTTGCAATTTGGTGTCGTAACAAATGGTTGCATCTATCATAACAAAATACTTGTTGACAATTTCTTATTGTCATTGTATCATTTGCATTTTGCAGTTTGTTGTTGATAATTGCATTTGGATATGGTTATTTGCATACTTTTATTTGGTTGTTGCTGCCACTATTTTGTTGATGTTGTTGTAGTTTATATTTCTTATGTTGTTGTCTGCAACTTGAAGTTTGCTGATGTTGTCCCTTTAGACGGTTTTCATTTTCACTTTTGCAGTTCTGCATATTTTAATTTGCAGCTTGTTATTGCATATTAATATTAGTTTTTTTCTTCTTCTTTGGGAATAACTAAGAAAGGTTTCACATATCTTTTGGTTCTCTTTCTAAACTCGTATTAAAGTTAATGTGTGTGTGGCTTTTTTTTTTCTTTTGTATTTGCCGTTTCATAATGTATTGTATATTGCAATAGTAATTGTATTTTTTTGCATCTCGTTGTTGCAACTTCGAACATTGTATTTTTCTATAGGGATTCTATGATGCGTTTTGATATTTTAATATGCATTGATGCAAATTTGTGCATATTATAATTGAAAGCTTTTTTGGTTGAACTCGCATTTTACCGTCGCTTCAACTATAGGTCAGAAGAAAACAAACAAGAGATTCATTAGAGGTTAATGCTACTGACACGATCATGTTTCTAAAAGATCCCCGATGATGTTTGGAAGTTGTGAATTCAGTCGGATGTCGAGACTATGCCCGTTATGACATCACCCTAGCCATAATCAATTATGATAGGTTGTAGTTTGTTCATCGACTATATTGCAACACTGCTTGTATCTATTAATTTGTATCTTACAATATTTTGTATTTAATGCACTGATTTATTCCTAAATAAAAACGGTTTGTTGGTTTGTTTGTTTGTTATATCATATTTTATTTCATATTTCATATTTTAAATATATTTTATATTGTTCGAGTAAGAATAAACTTGAACCTCTAATGTTTGAGTAAATTATTATTAGTTTCTTATTGTGTTGTTGTGAAAAGATATTTGTAAAATAATATTTTTGACATATGGTATGTGGTTCCGTATTATATTTTATATTTTCTATTTATTTTTTATATTATAAGTTGCAATTTGTATGTTGCTAATTTTTTTTTTTTTGCAATGTGTTGTTATAACATGACACAACTTAGAGTGAAAGTCGTGAGGCTACTAAAATAGAAAAGAAAAAAAAGAAAAAAAAAGGAGAAAGAGAGATGTGATTGAGAGGAGAGAGAGAGAAGTTAAAGTAGAGAGAAAAGAAAGGAGAGATACGTGAGGGGGATGAGAGAGAGAAGTTAAAGGGGAGAGTGAAATGTGGGATTTTATTCATATTTTCCATAACTAACTATCTCAATATAAATAATAATTAAGGGTATTTACGTCAAAAAAAAATAGTTTAATTTAATTTACATTACATTTATTGGTCAATTGACCTATAGCTATAATCAACTAACAAAATGGACCATCATCTATATAAGTTCCAAATAAGGGGGTTCCAACTAATTAACCCTTACTCAAAACATCCAATTCTGCGTAATTAATTTTCTTCTTATATTATTATTGGGCAAATCGCAAATAGGCCGATCACAAGGACTTAAATGCACATAGAATCCAGACAAAAAATAGTTTTGCAAATAACCTCATTCCCATGTCTTTTGTTTAAAATACCCTCCATAATATAATTTTCATCAGTTTCATCTATTATACTCTAACTTTATCAATATTGCATATTGACCCCGGATTAGAACAAATATATCACATTAACCCTCATTTTCATAATTTAAAAAAAAAATCATCACATTAACCCTCATTTTCATAATTTTAAAAAAAAAATTCTGAAATTTTTTTTATGGCCAGATTCCGACGTTGACTTTTTCTTTTTTTGAAACTTTTTCTCTCTCTAAATTACTGCGTTAACAACAAATTATTGTCTTAGATAGTAATATTGAATGCCAAAACAGTAATATTACTAATATTACTGTCCCAAACAGCCATATTACTGTCCCGAACACTAATATTACTGTTCCGAATAGTAATATTACGTATATTACTTTCCCGAACAACAACATTGCTAATATTACTGTCCCAAACAGTAATATTATTGCATGTGACAATAATATTATGGTCGGAGACAGTAATTTTACGCTCGAAGACAGCAAAATTGCAAGTCAATACGATAAAATTAATCAATACAGTAAAATTACTATCTCAGACCGTGATATTACTGTCTCAAACAGTTAAATTAGTGTCTCCGACAGTTAAATTGCTGTCGGAGACAGTAATGTAGCAGATCAAGACAATAATATTAATTAAAATATTCTTTTTAAGAAAAAACAAATTTTCACAAAAAAAAAAATCAAAAGCAGAGACCGGCGGTTGACCTGCGAAAAAAAAATTCAGAAAAAAATGTTTTCAAAATATAATAAAGTAAAAATAAATTCAACGCCGGAAACAGGTTAACTGGTGAAATTGAGCTAAATTGGAGTTTACATCATTAAATAGGAGTTGAATTAGGGTTTCAAGGAGTTGGGGGTAATTTATGTATATAAAAAAGCTTTTTTCCTTATTTTCAAAGAAGTTTAAGAGCCTGTTTGGCTAAGCTTATAAGCTCGTAAAAACATCTTATAAGATGTTTAGGAGCTTATAAGTTGTTAAAAGGTGTTTGGTAAAAAAATTGCAAAAGATCTTATTTTTTCCAAAAATAAGCTGTTAGGGAGCTTATAAGATGTTTTTAAAAAAGTACCTCTACCCCACCTTTTTTCTTTAAGATCTTATTTGCTTCTTTACTAAAACACTTAAAAATACAAAATTACCCTCAAATACTTTATTATATTACATGAATACTAATAGTATTTATATTTTATCAAAACAACGTATTATTGTAATCAAGATTAATAATTAGTTAAATATAATTATCGTAATTATCATAATAATTGTAAAAACATTATTCACTATTTATATTTTATATGTATATAAAAATACACGAATATTCTTATTATCTCCATAATAAATTATATTTCTTTCATCTATAAAAACAAATTATATTTCTTTTACAACTTTTATTTTATATTATTATATAATTTTATATTATTATTATTATTTAAAAAAATAATTTGTAAATATTATAATAATATTTTATGAACAAAAGTATTTGAGTCAACAATTCTACTCGCGTCATGTACTTTTTTGTCATTATAGCAATAAACAGACCTTTTATTTCCAAACACCTGAACAACTTATAAAAACTAAAAGTAACTTATAAGCTACATATCCAAACACCTTAAAAAATAATTTTTAAAATAAGATCTAACAGCTTATCAGCTCCTAAAACATCTTATCAGATGTAGGAGCTTATAAGATGTTTTAAATAAGCTTAGCCAAACGGGCTCTAAATAAAGTGAATTTATTTGAATGACAAAAAAGTTTAGATGTCTTTTTTTTTAATTAAGTGCTTTTGTAATGTGTCTATTTGTCATTTTCCTATTATTATTCCAATTTTTTAACGATATTTCATATAACCCCCAATATTTCTTTTAATAGAGACATGTCCAAACTATTTTGCATTTTTTGAGAAACATTCATTCCTAATTTCAGCCAAACATTTTTTCAATTATGCACCTGCCACCTCATCAGCACTATCACCTACTATGTCGCTACCTCATTAGCCGTTTTTATTTATTTTTTTTATTATTTTTATTATTGATTAATATTTTTTATTTTTTATTTTTACACTTTTTACTGTTGATTTATTTATATTTTTCTTTATTTATTGTTATTATTATTATTATTATTATTATTATTATTATTATTATTATTATTATTATTATTATTATTATTATTATTATTATTATTATTATTATTATTATTATTATTATTATTATTATTATTATTATTATTATTATTATTAT